GCCGGAGCTGGAGACCCTGCCCCTGGAGGTGCTGAGACTGCCGGGACTGAGGGTGCTGCTGCGACTGGTGGTGCTGAGGCTGGAGGTGGCGGAGGTACTACTGCTGCTGGAGGTGCTGGAGCTCCCGGAGCTGAGGGTGCTGCTGTGACTGGTGGTGCTGAGGCTGGAGGTGGCGGAGGTACTACTGCTGCTGGAGGTGCTGGAGCTGCCGGAGCTGAGGGTGCTGCTACGACTGGCGGTGCTGAGGCTGGAGGTGGCGGAGGTGCTACTGTTGCTGGAGGTACTGGAGCTGCCGGAGCTGAGGGTGCTACTGCGACTGGTGGTGCTGTGGCTGGAGGTGACGGAGGTGCTGCTGCTACTGGAGGTGCTGGAGCTGCTGACGGTGTTGGAGCTGTCGGAGCTGGTGCTGGGGGCTCGGTGCGGCCACGGCCGTACTACGGTCCTCTACTTCGCCAGGTTCTTGGTCTTCCGCCAGCTACTGCCCCTGCTCCTTCCTCTTCCACTGAGCAGCCAGACTCACTTACAGAGCGTCGCGAGTCTGTCTCTCGTCCTGTCTCGCCTGTTCGCGCTGCTCGCACCGGTCGCCGTGTTCCTCGTCCGCGTCCTGACCCTGTCCCTGGCACGCACTATATGACATTCCGTCCTTCCTCTGTTCCACTGCGCGTCTCCCTGCCGTCTCCTCCTGCGTCCTCTCTTCCTGACGTCGCTGACCAGGCGTCAGACCTTGCTCGTGCTGCCAGTCCTACAGTCACGCGTCTTCTCGCCAGTGTTGTCACTGACCCTTCGTTTGCGTCCACTGCTGCGTCTGCCCTTGTTGCTGAGCTTGTTGACTTTGCTGCCGCCTGTCGTCTAGACTACGCCGCTAGTCTTGTTACTGAGTCTGCGTCTAAGTCTGTCTGTCCTCCGTCCGTCGGGGGTGAGTGTGCTCTTGGCACGGACGTCCTTGAGGACAGACAGCAGGACGTTGAGTGCTTTGCCGCTGCTTTACCTCATCTCGTGTCCATGCTGCTTGCCCCTGAGGAAGACCCGGATGCACCAGACATCCCGACCCCGCGCTCTTACGCAGAGGCGATAGAGGGTCCCTACTCCTCTCAGTGGCAGACAGCCATGGACGCAGAGATGGCTTCCTGGAAGTCCACAGGCACCTACGTCGACGAGGTTCCCCCACCTGGGGCGAACATCGTCAGTGGCATGTGGATTTTCAGGGTGAAGCGGCCGCCGGGTTCTCCGCCTGTCTTCAAGGCGCGTTACGTTGCACGAGGCTTCAGTCAGCGACAGGGAGTTGACTTCTTCCAGGCCTTCTCCCCTACCCCGAAGATGACCACTGTTCGGGTTCTGCTGCACGTTGCCACTCAGCGTGACTACGAGCTTCACTCTCTTGACTTCAGCACTGCTTTCCTACAGGGCAGCCTGCACGAGGAGATATGGCTGCACCGCCCACCTGGCTTCACTGGGTCGTTTCCTGCTGGTACCCAGTGGAGCCTCCGGCGGCCAGTCTACGGTCTCCGCCAGGCACCCCGTGAGTGGCACGACACACTGAGGACGACTCTTGCTGCTCTTGGGTTTGCTCCTTCTACTGCTGACCCGTCGCTGTTTCTACGCACCGACACCACTCTGCCGCCGTTCTACGTTCTCGTGTACATAGACGACTTGGTCTTTGCTACTTCTGACACTGAGGGACTCGCCCACGTGAAGTCAGAGCTGCAGAAGAGACACACGTGCACAGATCTGGGTGAGCTGACAAGCTATCTTGGCTTGCAGATCACCCGGGACAGAGCACAGTGCACCATTACCTTGACTCAGTCACACATGGTGCAGCAGGTCCTTCAGCGCTTCGGCTTCACGTACTCCTCGCCACAGTCCACTCCTCTGCCTACCGGTCACTCGCTCTCAGCTCCACCTTCGAACGAGTCCGTAGAGCCGAGTGGCCCGTATCCAGAGCTTGTGGGCTGCCTCATGTACCTGATGACCTGCACTCGAACTGACCTTGCCTACCCTCTTAGCATTCTAGCACGCTATGTCGCTCCTGGCAGACACAGGAAGGAGCATTGGGAGGCCGCTAAGAGGGTGTTGCGCTACTTGTGCAGTACGTCGGGCATGGGGCTCGTGCTTGGAGGACGGGCTCGAGTTGTCCTCACTGGTCACGCAGACGCTTCATGGGCTGACGACTTGGCTACGCAGCTGTCGTCACAGGGTTACACCTTCAGTCTTGGCTCCGGCTCTGTTTCTTGGCGGTCTACCCGCTCGTCTTCTGTTCTCAGCTCCAGTTGTGAGGCTGAGATCTACGCAGGGGCCATGGCTGCGCAGGAGTAACGCTGGATCACCTATCTGCTGACCGACCTGGGAGAGCCGCCTCGTTCTCCTCCAGTGCTGTACGTCGACAACAAGGCCATGATTGCCTTGTGTCAGGAGCACAGACTGGAGCACTGAACGAAGCACATTGCTCTGCGCTACTTCCTTGCTCGAGAGTTGCAGCAGCGTGGTCAGCTTCGTCTTGCGTACGTGGCCACTCGGGCCAACACTGCTGATGTCTTCACCAAGGCACTTCAGCCTTGTGATCATCAGCGTTTCTTAACTGTTCTAGGCCTTGTGCCTACTGTGCCTCACTTGCTTACTTCTTGACTTTGCTTGTATTGTGATCCTTATATATGTATACCTGCATGTTTACACTTGCTAGGTTCTGATCACTGTACTGCTTGTTATATTATCAAACTACATGTGAACTGGTCTTGTGGCCGCTTGCTTGTGCTCGGAATTTGTGTGGAGTCCTTGAGATCCACCCTGAGCTTGCTTTGCTTTTCTTGACTGGTCTTGTGACCTCTTGTTCTCCCCCACTTTGCCTATGGGGGTGTGTCAAACATATATGCTATAGCTTGTTTAGGCTGTAGTGGGGTAGTCAATATGGGGTACAACACTTTAGGGTTTCACTAATTGTACCCAACTTCCTGCTAATGCAATCACTTCTTGTTTCTAGTTTCAACACTTCCTGTTGTACAACTTGAACGCTTGAGTGGTGTTGTCGGCTTCAAGGTGAATTCCTTTCGCCACGAGTTGACTGACGCTGAGTAAGTTGTAGCCGAGTCCTTCTGAATTAAAACTTTTGACATCTGCAGGATAAGGTTAGCCTCGCGGGATTGAAGTTGTACTACCCCTTGTCGTCGTGTGTGCAGGTTCTGGTTGTTGGCGACGGTGATTACAACTTCGCAGTTGAGGCGTTGTTCCCGTTGAATGAAGCGACCCGAAGAGCACATATGTTGTCCGCAGCAGCTATCCAAGAACCAGGTGTCCTTCCCAGATGGTTCGCTTTGGGCGATGGCTGCGTACGTCGGATTCGGCTCCAGTGATTCGCGACGAGGCGTGCTTTCGTCAAGCCGTTCTTCGGGTGAGTAGGTCGGTGGTGAACCGGTGATGCAGGAGTCCGTTGTTCTTGTCATGCAGCTTATGATATTTCTTGTTCTCTGTGCAGGTTTGGACGTTGTCGTTGAAGACGGCGCCTGGTTGGAAGGATGCTGCTGTGTGGAAGCCACTTGGCTACTTGCAGGTCGGAGTTGACGTGGCGGTGGTGTCGATTGCTGCTGATTCGGGCAGTGAATTCGTGAGTGACCAGACGTTTTGCAGAGGTGGCAGAATGGTGGTACGTGTCTTTGTCCGTTCTGTCGGTTGTTGTTGTTGTAGCGTCGTTGAGTGTGAAAGGCGAACTCTGGTGCTGAAGCCCTTTTCTTTTGACATTCTTTGTGCAGGTCCATGTCTTGTTGCTCGGCGTGGATTTCAGCGCAGAGGGCTACTTCGGAGATTCTTCCGTGGGCTCGGAGAATGGCTTGGGTGGAGCGCCACTGAGGACCGAGACCAGTGATGACGACAGTGACGAACGCTTCTTCAGATAATGACCCGCCGCATCGAAGGAGCCTATCGCGCAGACCACGGCAACGACTGATATATGCCATTCCCTTTTCGCCGGGTTGCATTTGCACCGTTGTCAATTGCGCCATGAGACGACTTTGATTGACGCTGTCGGTTGCTTGATACAGGTTCTTCAGATGGTTGTACGCGAGCTCGGCGGAGTTGCCGTATCCGTGATAAGATCGGATGTTCTGCTGGTCGTTCGGTGTTATATTTCGTAGAAGTATGGTGTACGCCATGAGTGACTGATACGTGTACTACTGCTTGTCGTACTGCGTCCCGTGTGTTGGGTATGGCAGGGAACCGTCAAAGAAGCCAAGAATTGGAGCGCCCTCCATCATCAGCTCGAACTCAAAAGACCAGGTATAAAAGTCTTTGCCGTCGAATGGTGTTGACGTTTTTAGTTTCAGAACGTGTGCGAACTGCGACTGCAGCTGAAGTGCGTCCAGTGTCTTTGTTTCTTGTCCAGGTGGAAGCCGATTTGGCATGAAGCGGATGGAGCCGCGTTGAGGCTCATATGGTGCAAAGGTAGGCTACTGCTGATTTCCATGCGCAAATAATGAACCGTCAAGGCTCATGGGAGTGACTCCGTTGTTGTTGTCGCTGTTGTTTGACTGCGCAGGTGCTGCTTGTTGGTGTTGCTCGTAGAACGACATGAAGGAGAAGAATTTCTCCTTCATGCTTGGGTCGAAGCCGGTAGCTTGACTGGCTGGAGTCTCAGTAGGCTCAGCTGCTAGTCCTTGGTTTGTGTCTCTCTCTGTTTGTAGTCCAGAGGCTGGTGGTGGAGTAGGAGTGTAACTGGGAGATTTTGTAGACGAGCTTCTCTCCTTCTGTGTTTCCATGTCTTTGTTGTAGGATTGAACAGAGTTGAGTCTTGCCCTGTTAGCTCTCATACCATGTTGGGCTGATAAAATTCCTTAGGACCGTTTCAAGGCTAAGACTCGAAGTGATGATGTAATTGCGGAAGCGTTGTAGTGAACTGGTTGATAGATTGATTATAGTAAAGTAGTACAAGGCTTTATATGATTACAAAGGAATATGAAAAGACATAACTAACTGTTGCTGTTGCGATTCGATACAGCTGCGACTCGGGCAACTGCCTACACGATCGCGCTGCCACGCGAGTGCCCTGCTGCCCCACGCTCCCGTTGCCCCGCGCGCTGCCTTACAGCCCGCGCGTGCCCCCCTGCCCAGAGCCCGCGAGTGCCCCGCTGCCCTGCGCCTGCGCGTGCCCCGCTGCCCAGCGCTTAGGCGCACCCCGCTGCCCAGCGCCAGTGCGTGCCCCGCTGCCCCGTGCCCGCGCGTGCCTTGCTGCCCAGCGCCAGCGCGAGCCCCGCTGCCCAGCGCCAGCCCGTGCCCCGCTGCCCAGCGCTTACGCGCGCCCCGCTGCCCTGTGCCCGCACGCGCCCTGCTGGCCAGCGCCAGCGCGTGCCCCGCTGCCCCGTGCCCGTGCGTGCCCTGCTGCCCCGCGCCCGAGCGCCCCTGTCCTGCCCTGCTAGCGCTGCCCGCGCCTGCTCTGCCAGTGAGCTCGTGCTGTTGCTGCAGCTGCCGCCCGCATGCTGCCCTGCATCATGCCCTGCTAGCGCTGCCCGTGCCTGCCCTGCTGCGCACTCGTGCTGCTGCTGCAACTGCCGCCCGCACGCTGCCCTGCACCGTGCCCTGCTAGCACTGCCCATGCCTGCCCTGCTGCGCACTCGTGCTGCTGCTGCAGCTGCCGCCCGCACGCTGCCCTGCACCGTGCCCTGCTAGCACTGCCCGTGCCTGCCCTGCTGCGCACTCGTGTTGCTGCTGCAGCTGCCGCCCGCACGCTGCCCTGCACCGTGCCCTGCTAGCGCTGCCCGTGCCTGCCCTGCTGTGCACTCGTGCTACTGCTGCAACTGCCTCCCGCACGCTGCACTGCACTGTGCCCTGCTAGCGCTGCCTGTGCCTGCCCTGCTGCGCACTCGTACTGCTAGTGTAGCTGCCGCCCACACGCTGCCCTGCTCCCCGCCCTGCTTGCGCTACTGCGCTGCTGCTGCTTCCTGCATCACCCTTACTGAGCCCTTGCCTGCGTCCACCAGCCTTGCCCTGCCCACACGAGCGCCTGCCCTACCTACACGCGCTGCCCGCGCGCACCTGCCCTGTCTTGTCGCAGCAGCTTCGCAAGAGGGCTGTCCGGTGGGGCAGCCCCGGTGGCGGAGCCTGGGGTGCTACTACTAGAGGTACCTGTGAGTCTACTCCTGCTGGTAGTGCCGCTGGTAGACGCGGAGGTTCTGGGGGTGGACAGCAGCAGCAGCAGCGTCCGCCGCAGACTCTCTCCCTGCAGCAGCTTCATAAGTGGGTTGTCCGGTGGGGCAGCCCTGATGGCGGAGGGTTTCGGGGTACTCGTACTGGGGGTGTAGAGGCACCTGGTGGCGTAGAGGCTGCTATTCTTGGTGCTTTCGACTCAGCTAGCGCAGGGGAAAAGCCTGAGGAGGCCTTGCACACTTTTACCCTAGACTGCGGTGCGTCTCGCAGCTTCTTCCGCGACAGCACCACAGTCACACCGCTCACAGCCCCCCCTGTCCTTGTCACACTGGCTGACCCCTCTGGTGGCCCGGTAGTCGCGCGTGGTGCTACTGTTCTCCCGTGTCCGGCGGCCCCTTCCGGCCTCCTCACAGGTCTCCACCTCCCCTCGTTAGCTAAGAACTTGGTGGCTACCTCTGTCCTCCAGGACCAGTGGGTCACTGTCACCCAGCCTGGAGGACAGCTTGTGGCGATCTGTACGGACTCACGCACTGGCGAGCACCTCGCCACGTTCACTCGGAGGCCTGGGTCTGGTCTGTACACATTGACTACTGAGTCTGCACTGGTGGCTGAGTCAGGTCAGGTAGCTGCGTCGGTTGAGGTTGCTGAGTCTTGTTCGTGTCGTCTCCTCACGCACCAGACTCTCCTCTGGCACCACCGTCTTGGCCACCCGTCTTGGCTACCCCTCCTTGCCACGCCTGCGTGGCATGCACTCCCGTCTCCTTGTGTCTGGTCTCCCCAGGTCTCTGCCCCCACTTCCGAGGTCGCTTGCACCGCCGTGCCTTCCCTCCGTCGAGGGGCGGCAGTGCTCCGCTCCTCACTCCTCCTCGTTTCCTCCTACCACTGCTCCTCTGCAGACCCTTTCCATGGACGTGTGGGGCCCCGCCCGCGTCACTGGACAGGGTGGCGAGCGCTACTTTCTGCTCGTTGTTGACGACTACACGCGCTACACCGCGGTCTTCCCCTTGCATAGCAAGGCAGAGTTCCATAATGTCTTGATCCGCTGGATCCACGCTGTCCGTCTTGAGCTTAGCGCTCGGTTCCGGCAGGACCTTCCGGTCCCGCGGCTGCAGTTTGACCGAGGTGGTGAGTTTTCCTCCCGCCTTCTCGAGGACTTCTGTGGTGATGAGGGCATCCGCCAGTCATTCACCCTTCTGGCCTCTCCACAGCAGAATGGAATTGCATAGCGCCGCATCGGCTTGGTCATGGAGGTTGCTCGCACCTCCATGATCCATGCGGCTGCTCCCCATTTTCTGTGGCCGTTTGCGGTCCGATACGCCGCGCATCAGCTCAACCTCTGGCCCCGTGTCTCCGTGCCAGAGACCTCGCCTACACTGCATTGGACGTGGGAAGTTGGTGATGTGTCAAAGTTTCGGGTCTGGGGTTCCCTCTCTCTTGTCCGCGACCTGCCTGCGGGCAAGCTCTCTCCGCGCACTCTTCGGTGCGTGTTCCTTGGCTTTCCGACCGCCACACCACCCTGGCAGTTTTACCACCCGGGATCTCGTCGTGTGCTGTCCTCCCGCGACATCACTTTTGACGAGTCAGTCTGCTTCTACCGTATTCACCCCCATCGCAGTTCCCCGGTACCCCTCCCACTGCTCTCCCTGGTTATCGACCCCCCCACGGTAGCCCCCCTCCCTCCTCCCGGTCCTGCTCCTTCAGGTGTGTCTCAGGTAGACCCACCCCCCTTGGTTGAGCCTTTGGAGGTCTCCTCTGACACCTCTGGCCCAGCTGAGGGGGGTGACCCGACTGCCGCTGACACAGTGGCCCCTCGCCGCTCCGCGCGCCTGGCGGTCCCTCCTGGTTTTCCGCCTCGACCGTCTTCACTGCCTCTGCAGCCCGTAGCTGTGGACTCTGGTGCTGCTGGAGGTGGTGACTCTGGGGGTGTTGGCTCTGGGTGTGCTGAGTGTCCGACGGGTACAGGAGCTGCTGGGGGTGCTGCGGTTGGAGGTGCTGGTGGTGTTGGTGCTGGTATCACTGGTGCACGTCAGCAGGAGCCTCTCTCGCCGGAGCGGCTTCGCGAGTGGGCTGTCCGGTGGGGCAGCCCCAGTGGCGGCGCTGGACGTGCTGGAGCTGGGAGTCCTGGAGGTATTGGACCTGGAGATGCTAGTGCTGGTGTTCTTGGAGTTGGCCGTGCTGGAGGTGCTGCCACTGGAGGTGCTACTGGAGGTACTGGAGTTGGTGGTACTAGTCGGCAGGAGTCGCTCTCGCCGCAGCAACTTCGCGAGTGGGCTGTCCGTTGGGGCAGTCCCAGTGGAGGAGCTGGAGGTACTGAATCTGGGGGTGTTGTTACTACTGGAGCTGGAGGTTCTGGGGGTGCGAATACTCAGCCGCAAACGTCTGTGCTTCGTCACCTTCTCAGTCTCCCGCCAGCAGTTACTGAGTTCCCTGTTGCTGGCACTACTCCTCCGTTACTGTTTCCACCGCCTGACCAGTCTCAGCCACAACTACTGCCTCAATCCCCATTGCCTGCTCCTGCTCCGTACACTGCGGTCACAGAGTCCCTCACTAAGAGTAGAGAGCCTGAGTCGTGTCCTGTCACGCCTGTCCGTACTCGTAGCATTGCCCGTCCTCGTCCTCCACCTGTCCCAGGCACGCACACCATGGCACTTCGTCCTTCCTCTGTTCCACAGCGTGTTGTCCTATCGTCGCCTCATGCGTCCTCTCTTCTGCACATTCCTGACTCTGAGTCTGGCCGTGTTCGTGCTGCCAGTCCGACTGTCACTCGTCTTCTTGCTACAGTTGTGTGTGACCCTTCCTTTTGAGTCTGCTGCTGCGTCTGCCTTAGTTGCTGGGCTTACTGACTTTGCTGCTTTGTGCCGCCTTGACTACGCTGCGAGTCTTGTTTTTTTCTCTTCCTGTCCTACGTCCGTCGCGGGTGAGCTTGCCCTTGGCGCTGACGTCATTGAGGACAGGCAGTTTGAGCTGGAGTGCCTAGTGGCCGCTTCACCTCATCTCGCGTCCACACTACTTTGCCCTAAGGGAGACCCGGATGCATTGGACATCCTGACCCCGCGTTCTTACGCAGACGCGATCACGGGTCCGTACTCCTCTAAGCGGCAGGCAGCCATGGATGCAGAGATGGCTTCCTGGAAGTCCACAGGCACATAGGTCGACGCAGTTCCCCCACCTGGGGCGAACATAGTCGATGACATGTGGATTTTTAGGGTGAAACGGCCACTGGGTTCTCCGCCTGCCTTTAAGGCGCGTTACGTTGCACGAGGCTTCAGTCAGCGTGAGGGGGTCGACTTCTTTCAGACCTTCTCCCCCACCCCAAAGATGACCACTCTACGGGTGCTACTGCACGTTGCAGCACAGCGCGACTACGAGGTGCACTCCCTCGACTTCTCGACAGCTTTCTTGCAGGGCTGCCTTCACGAGGCCATCTGGTTGCGCCGCCCTCGTGGCTTCACTGGGTCGTTTCCTGAGGGTACCCAGTAGAGTCTCCAGCGACCAGTCTACGGTCTGCGTCAGGCGCCCCGTGAGTGGCACGACACACTGAGGACTACACTTGCGGCTCTTGGTTTCGCTCCCTCGACTTCTGACCCTTCACTGATTCTACGTACAGACACTTCTCTACCGCCGTTCTACGTTCTTGTGTACGTCGACGACTTGTTTTTTGCTACAGCTGACACTGAGGCACTGGCCCTAGCGAAGGCGGAGCTGCAAGAGAGACACACCTGCACTGACCTGGATGAGTTGCGGAGCTATCTTGGCTTGCAGATCACCCGGGACAGAGCACAGCGCACCATCACCTTGACTCAGCCACACATGGTGCAGCAGGTCCTTCAGCGCTTCGGCTTCCAGTTCTCCTCGCCACAGTCCACTCCTCTGCCTACAGGCCACTCGCTCTCAGCTCCACCTTCGGACGAATCCGTAGAGTCGAGTGGTCCGTATCCAGAGCTTAAGGGTTGGCTCATGTACCTGATGACGTGCTCACGACCTAACCTCGCGTACCCTCTCAGCCTTCTGGCTCGCTACGTGGCTCCTGGTAGACACCGAAAGGTGCACTAAGAAGCTGCAAAGAGGGTACTGTGTTACTTGTGCAGTACATCGGGCATGGGGCTTGTGCTTGGAGGACAGGGTTCAGTTGTTCTCACCGGTCACTCAGACGCTTCTTGGGCTGACGATCAGATGACTCGCCGATTGACACAGTGCTACAAATTCAGCCTCGGCACTGGTTCTGTCTCGTGGATGTCCACTTGCTCGTCTTCTGTACTTAGTTCAGCTGTGAGGCCGAGATCTACGCTGGGGCTATGGCTGCACAGGAGCTCCAATGGTTGACCTACCTGCTCACCGACTTGGGTGAGTGGCCTCGTTCTCCTCCAGTTCTGTACGTCGACAACAAGGCCATGATCGCCTTGTGTCAGGACCAGAGACTGGAGCACAGAACGAAGCACATTGCTCTTTG